TCCAGGTCAGCAGAAATCTTATAATTTCTGTCAGTTTTCCGTATTTCTTGTTTTCTCACGCTCTTCTATCAACCTGTTTACTGAAATGCTTTCTTTGTTCAATTTATTTAATGTTTTTTTAATGTGAATTTTTGTTTGGAGTCACTACGCACAAATGTTGCGAGGAATACAAATTATGTGAATGTGGAAAATAAAATATTAAAAAGTAGTACAAAGAATTTGGAACAAATAAATGAAAAATTGTTTAAAACCAGTTCCGACTGCCTGTTTGGTTTATTAATGCCAAATATCATTGAAACACACAAACACTTTATCTTCAGAAGAATTGCTGGAACACAAATGGCTTCATGAGGTTCTGTGTTGTTTGACACAAATATGTTTATACAGAATGGGTTTAAGACTCTGTGAATTAAAATATAATGTAAAAAATGAATGGGCTTGCTTTGCTAATTCTAGAATTGCGCCGCTCAAGGTGGCTGCATGTTGGAGCATCTCTGTTGTTTTCATGAGTTGAAAGGATGTCCTATGGACGCATTCTCATCTACCTGCCAGCTGTGCTCGAGTGCCTGACCACTGAGATCCTGGAACTAGCAGGAAACACGGCTCATGACAGCTGAAGGACAGGATCGTCCCTCAGCACCTACAGTTTTGTCTGTCTGCAGCAACAAGGAGCTCGGCAGACTGCTGGGAGGAGTGACCATCGCTCTGGGAGGAGTTCTGTCCAGCATTCGGGCGGTCCTACAGCCCGGAGGAACCGAGAGGCCAGCCGAGTCTGGGTGGACGGATCAGACGGCATCTGCAGCCAGTTTCTTAGGATCCACTGTGGGATGGACTTTTACAAGAGATCCTTCCTGCCTACAGCATCAGCATCTATAACCTCTCTTAATGAAATGAGGATAATGAGTTACAACAACAAATAATTAATCTCTGGGATTAATAAAGTATTTTTGAATTGAATTGACCTGTTCACGAGTAGCTTTTTATAAGAAATATGTACAAGATATAAGTATCTCAACACTTGTTGCTTTCTTGGTTCAACTCATTTTATTTTAGGAGCTCCAAGTCACAACAGAAGTCTCAGGGCACTGAACAAAAACATTCACAGACAGTTGAAAGATTCTGTCATTTCTATACAACACATAAACACTTAGAATAATGTTTACATCAGGTTATTTACACACTGTGACAAGCTAAAATACCAGCAGCTCTCAGTGCCAATAAATTGGGAAGCAATTAAGTATTGCATGATAAGAAGGCCAGAGGCACAGAGTTTTTTTGTTTTTCCTCTTTTGTTTTTTCCTTTCCAGATGGACCAGGCCTGGGGAAGCCCACCTTGAAGAGTCAAAGAGAGAAAATCAGGGTCTACAACTGATAAACATTCCTAGATCAAAACGCTTTCTTGCTTAGAACGCTTTTTGCAATCCTTTAATCAAATATTTTTAGTACTGACATAGTCAATGTTGTAAATATTTCCATGATGTCATGCATCTCATTAGGGGGTTGCCGGAGTCAATGGCAAAATGCCGGGAGCTGAGACGGCTAATTGACCTGAATTGTGCAGGTCACATGTTTACAGCCAGAAGGCACCTGCCACGCACACATAGGAATAGTTTACATTCGAACACAGAGAGAAAATTGATTAATTGCTTGCAATTCCGGCAGTCTTGAACTGGGAGTTTTTGAGGAAACCCTCTCGAGTCCCTCGAACCAGGGGGAGTTGTTAGTATTTTATCTAGACTGACCCTGGGTTTTTGATCTGCTCAGACAGATTGTAATGAGAATATGACCCGGATCTGACCGGTTTAAACAGGGCCAGCAACTCTAAAATAAAGAGTCTCCCAGGGTTTCAATGTCCGTCAAGGTGAGAAAGGTGAAGAGAGGAGCTGAGCTGTCAACTGATCACCACCTGGTAGTGAGTTGGATTAGATGGCGGGAGAAGATGCCAGATGAACCCGGCAGACCCAAATGTGTAGTGAGGGTTTGCTGGGAATGCCTGGCAGAAGAACCTATCAGAGATCTTCAACTCACACCTCCGGGAGAGCTTTAACCGCATCCCAGCTGAGGCGGGGACATTGAGTCCGAAAGGGCCATGTTCCACGCCTCGCTTGTTGAGGTAGCAGCCTTGAGCTGTGGCCACAAGGTTGTCGGTGCTTCTTGCGGTGGCCATCCACAAACTCGTTGGTGGACACCCCGGGTTAGGTAAGCTGTCAAGCTGAAGAAGGAGTCCTATCGGGCCTTGTTGGCCAGTGGGACTCTGGAGGCAGCTGAGGAGTACCAGAGGGCCAAGTGGTCTACAGTCTTAGCTGTTGCTGAGGCAAAAGCTTGGATGTGGGAAGAGTTCGGTGAAACCTTGGATGAAGACTCTCGGTCAGCTCTGAGGAGATTCTGGCAAACCATCAGGCGGCTGAGGAGGGGAAAGCAGCACTTTACTAACACTATGTTCAGTGAAGGTGGGGTGCTGTTGACCTCAACCAGTGATGTCGAGAGGTGAAAAGAATACTTTTCTGACCTTCTCAATCCCACCAGCACATCTTTCATGGAGGAAGCTGAGTCGGGTGACTTTGAGGTTGATCCGTCTATAACTGTGGCTGAGGTCGCCAAGGTGGTTAAAAAGTTCTGAGGTGGCAGGGCTCCTAGATGGCTGAGATTCACCCTGTTACCCTTAATGCTCTGGATGTTGTGGGGCTGTCTTGGCTGACACGCCTTTGCAATGTTGCGTGGACATCGGGGGCAGTGCCACTGGATTGGCAGACTGGGGTGGTGGTTCCCCTTTTCAAAAAGGTGGACCGGAGGGTGTGCTCCAATTATAGGGGCATCACTCTCCTTAGCCTCCCTGGTAAGGTCTATTCAGGGGTACTGGAGAAGAGAGTCTGATCGTTGGTCGAACTGCAGATCCAGGAGGTACAATGTGGGTTCCACCCTGGCTGTGGAACATTTGGTTCAGCGCTTTACCCTCACTAGGGTCCTCGAGGAGTCATGGGAGTTTGCCCATCCAGTCTACATATGTTTTATGGACTTGGAGAAGGCAGTCAACCGTGTTCCTCGGGGTCCACTGTGGGGGGTGCTTCGTGACTATGGAATTGTGGGCCCGTTGTTACGGGCTGTTCAGTCCCTATACAAGCGATATGAGGGTTTGGTTCGCATTGCCGGTAGTAAGTCGGACCCCTTCAGAGTGGGAGTTGGACTCTGCCATGTCTGCCCGATGTCACCGATTCTGTTCATAACTTTTATGGACAGAATTTCTTGGTGCAGCCAGCTGGTGGAGGGTTTCTGGTTCGGTGGCCTCAGGATTCCATCTCTGCTCTTTACAGATGATGTGGTCCTGTTGGCTCATCGTGCCATGATCTTCAGCTCTCACTAGAGTGGTTCACAGCCAAGTGTGAAGCGGCTGGGATGAGAATAAGCACCTCCAAATCTGAGGGCATGGTCCTCAACCGGAAAAGGGTGGATTGCTCCCTTCAGGTCGAGGGTGAGGTTCTGCCTCAAGTGGAGGAGTTCAAGTGTCTCAGGGTTTTGTTCACGAATGAGGGAAGATTGGAGCGTGAGATTGACAGATAGATTGGTGCAAAATCTGCAGTATTGCGGACTCTGTACCAGTCTGTTGTGGTGAAGAGAGAGCTGAGCTGTAAGGCAAAGCTCTCTGTTAACCGGTCAGTCTATGTTCCTACCCTCATCTATGGTCATGAGCTCTGGGTAGTGACCAAAAGAATGAGATTGCGGATACAGCCGGTTGAAATGAGTTTCCTCTGCAGGGTATCTGGACTCTCCCTTAGAGATAGGGTGAGATGTTCAGTTATCCGGGAGAGACTCGGAGTAGAACCACTGCTCCTCCACGTCGAGAGGAGCCAGTTGAAGTGGTTTGGGCATCTGATAAGGATGCCCCATGGGCACCTCCCTAGGGAGGTGCTGCGGGCATGTCCAACTGGGAGGAGACCCCGGTGAAGACCCAGGACACATTGGAGAGACTATATCTCTCATTTGGCCTGAGAACGCTTTTGAATCTTTCCAGAAGAGGTGGCTGTGGAAAGAGATGTCTGGGCCTCCCTGCTCAAGCTGCTGCCCCTGCGACCCGACTTCGGAATAAGCATAAGATAATGGATGGATGGATGGATGGATATATATATATATATATACATACACACACACACACACACAGGAGGACACTTTTTAATTGTCAGCGGCTGGATTTCCATTTCTAGAGACAAAACTTGTCTCTCCAACTCTTGATTTATCTGTGCAGCATCATCCAGTTGACCTAAGGGAAAAGAAAGTATAGACATCACTTGTCCACCCATCAATTTCTTGTTCAATTATCAATTATCTTTTGTATTATAGCATTTCTCCTATTACTTACTCATTACTGCCTTGACAGTTCTGAGGTGAAGATATATACATATAACTTTTTTCAAAGGGGAAACTCAAATGCAGTGTTTTTTGTTTATTATTGGAACAACATGGCACACTGCAATAACAACGTCTTGATGACTGTGTCATGCTGGTTAGATGAGCTGATGCTGAGAAAGACGGACATGAAGAAAGTAAAAAGAGATTATTAATCACATCAGAACATGGAAATGGTTTGACATAGTTTTTAATTCAATATTTAAAATGCTATTCTAAACAATGGTGTTGGAAGATGTCAGAGATTTTACATTAACAGATAAAGTTAAACATTTTAATGTTACAGCACTGACAGGCAGCAGCAGTGTAGAGTTTAGCTACCTGTAGCTGCTAGCTAGCTTACTTTCCAATGTTTCCTTACACAGTTACAGAATGGTAAATTGACAGTGATGGATAATGTTACCACAGCTAACTAACACTTAAATACTGTTTTTATTAATGTTAATATAGCTTGTAAACCTTTAAACGTTAGAGCACTGACAGCCCGTGTTGTATATTTTAGCTACTGTGGCTAAAGTTGCTGCAATGATGGATAACGTTACCACAGCTAACAAACACGTAAATACTGTTTTTATTTTTAAATTGTGTTTTATTTAGGGGGAATGGTGGCGCAGGGGTTAGAAGATGGGCTTGTGATCGGAAAGTCGCAGGTTCACCTCCCGGGACTGTCAACATCAAAATGTGGGTGGAAAAGGTGAAACACCCACACCTGCCTCCACCCTCATTGGCCCCACTCTGGGCCCCTGAGCAAGGCTCTTAACCCCCATCATCTGCTCCCTAAACAGGTCTCTCTTGAAAATGAGTTCTCGTGGCTCAATGAGACTACCTGGATAAATAAAGGGTAAATGAAAAAAAAAAAACCTTACCTTGTGCTATATCTTGTAATTTAACCTCTATAAATAAAGGTTGTGTCATGAAGTCAAGTCACTCTCCATGGGTTTTCATTCAGGAACATTTATTTGTCCATTTCCAACAGCTTTAGCTCTCCCCCTAACTACATTACCCCGCGTTATATCCACAGGTGTTATACCATTAGCTGCACTCAATTATTATGTCCCCGTCTTATCCTGCAGTGCCCCTATTGGCTAAACAAGATTATTAGTATCATGATGCATGCTCAATAATCCAGGTAGAAAAATCTAAAAAAGTTCAATCTGGTCCTCTGGACATTCAAAAAGACTTAGTAAATCACATTACAGGTTGAATGAATGAAATTCCGTGAAGTTTCCGGACAGGTCTCCCGAGGGAGAATAGACCCAGAAGTACTGATCCACTGCGTTGACTCAGAACGGAAGTTGTCTGACGTCATTGTGAAAAGGGCCTATAGCGAAAAGTAGCCAAACACAAAGAAAACAAAAGTAGCCAAACACAAGATAAGAGAAGGAATTTGCACTGGTTTACCATTGTTGTCATTATACTTTGTTGAAACCAGGTCTCTCAAATGAGTCCTCAAGACTGAATGGGATTTACCTGTCTAAATAAAGGTTGAATGATTTAGAACATATAATGTATATGTTGAATAAATTTAAAATACATCCTTAGCTAGTGAATAACAGTCTAAACTGATATTCCACAGTTGTTGAACTAAAGCTAGTTTTTATTTTTAGGTGTCGCCTTTTTATTAAGAAACAAAAACAAATCTGTCTGTTTCTACCGGAGCTAAACAGCGAGACACCACCGGAAGTAAACACGCATCTAGCAGCGTTAGCATAGTTAGCTTTCCCCGTGTTTGCCGAGGTTTTCATGAATATTTAAAATTGTGCTATAATCATTAGAGTTAAACTGACTCTGATAGTTAAATTGATCAACTGATTATGTTTTAGTTAATAAGTATGATAACTCACCGGGATCATAACATGTTTCAGTTTGAGTCGGAGCGTCACAGTGTGACACCAGCGGAACTAAAGGCGCTAGCAGCGTTAGCATCGTTAGCTCTGTGTGTGTGTGAGGTGAATGTTTGAGTGTGTGCAGCAACAATGTCTTCAGTTCAGTCTCTGAGAGGGTTTATCAGCGAGCGACTAACTGCTGCTGCTGAAGAAATATTCACAGAGTTTGAAAAAACCATCGTCCGGTACGAGGAAGAGATCGATCGTCAGCGCAGACTGCTGGACATCAGCTGGAAACCTCACACACACCTGCACACAACAGGTAGGAGCTGCAGCGACTTCAAGATCTTCAACAGAAGAGTTTTTAGTTTTTGGATGTCCTGATGCTGCTCAATAATCGGGTAGAAAAATCCAACAAGGTTAAATCAGGTCGTTCAGTTGTTTTTTCATTGAGAATCAAAAGATGAAAGACACCCGGTCACACAACAATCGTGTAAACTTCCTCAAAGATCAGGTTGTTTTTTATTGGCATGGTGGCATTTGAAACAGTTTTGTTGCTGTACACATCCACAGCCCAAACATGCCGAGCTTCTCATTCTGATCCAGGTGTAGTTTATGATCCATGCACTCAGCATGATCGATTTAAATTCTGAGCACCTTTAATAAAGAAAAAAAGTTACATTGATTATTCCTTTTAGAAATGTTTTTTTTATTATTAATCCTAACCTGTGAGGACTGGCTCATAAGGGTGATATGGTGGTGCAAAAATCTATGAATTTAATATTTACAAAAAAGAAAATCAGTCAAAAATATACGAGTGATAGATGGGAGCACTACGTTGTGTGTACAGTGAAGTAGACTGTTGTAAATTAAGAATATACCCAGTGCTCACTTGTCTAGCAGTGTCTGAGAATGAGGACTGTACTCCGCCATTGCCTCTGGTTACCATGGTAACGGTAAACGGACCACAGCCATCGATGAGGATTAACAGAAAGCAACAGTCTTACTCAACACTCAGTTTGATCACCAGCTGCCACAAATGTTAACGATTACTCGCACCACCTGACGGTATTCATGATATGGCTGATGAATCCGTTTCAAGACTCCTGCCCCCCCTCCCATCCACAACAAATATCCCGTCATAAACTTGTGCCCGTCTGATGAGGAAAACTATGTTAAAAATGGAAGCTAAAATATTATACCTAAAATAAAAATCCATGTAACCTCATATATTGAGCCAATCACAGCCATCTCCAACTCTGCGTCCGAAATGTTCCTTTTGTGTTTCAGGTTGTGCACACACTCTGTTGTTCTGTGCACACACTCTGTTGTTCTGTGC